CTCGGCACGGCTTACTTCAAGTCCTGCTACAAAAGTTTTAAAAACAGACTGCTGACGCGAGTGCCTTCAGGAAACCTGCAGCCAGCCTGATAGCTCCCTCATTATGCAATTTCACAGCAGCACACTGACAGCCAATGAGCTATGAGCAACGAGATGAACAGTGTGTGGATTTAACAGGCCGTAAGAAACTAAAGTGGGGCCCAGTGGAGTGATTTAATGCCTGAGGACATATATATATATAAACATGTCGGAGAGCCACGGGTCCAAGAAATTGAGGATTGACTGGCACACTAAAAAGGTGGTTGCAGAGAGGTCGCCGTGTTTATAAAGAGCACACCTTTATTGTTTAAAGGTTCAGAGATAAACACGTGCAGCTCTTTTTTGACCTCAATTAGAGCCTGCTGACATTCCTCTGATTTTCCTTTTTTGATAAGTTAACCACTGTATCATCTGCATACAAAGTGATTATGTGCTTAGTAAGCTTTATTTGAAGGGCATTGTTTTCCACTCTAGTTCAAACATTGCCTGGTTCTAACGTTATTTCTCATTTAAAAAGGAGTTTACGCTCTACTTACATTTAACCAGCTGTGTTGCACCAGCTGAGATTGTTATGGAAAATACGGTTGTCATGGTGATGGTTTTGAAAGGTGAGATAACTTGGGAGGTGTAAGAGTGACCGTGTTAACTGGCATATTTCAGCTAAATGAACAGTCTTGTTTGGTGTCAGCAGTTTCATCAATTACATCCCTCAGAAACATGATGTCTTACTTTTTTTACTCCTGATTAGTTTAAGCCCAGATTATTCACCCGTCCAATCATAGAGGACTGTTAAATTACCTTATGTTGTAGTTGGAAGATTTTACCACTAGATGTCACTGTTGGTATCTGACACTAGCTGTAGATGAAGGCTGTAGGCTTTAGTTCTCACCTCATCATGATGCTTTGTCATATGCAAAATTTAGAGTTTGTGTTTGTGGATGAATGTCAGTGAACAGAAGTTATTTAGTCTATTCAGAGACGATCAGACAAAGGACAAAGGAAACAAACACTACAGGGAGAGAAACCCTGCTCTCTGATTGGTCACGTCAAGTTAAAATCTAATTTCTGACACTATGTTTTGGTTAGCTTGGATGCTACGCCCTACTAGTTAAGATTAACCTTATGTCTCTGTGGTAACCAAACAATGAAGCAACTAGTTTACACATAGGGTTTAGTGTAAGTCAGAACTTACACAAAGCTGCTGCAACAGGACACGGGACGAGAACACTTCCCTGTGGGACACCAGGACAACATAAAGCTCGGCTTGATCGGCCTTATGTGAGATCAAAGGGAAGTTTTAGAGTAAAAATGGCCACCCGTAGACTTGTGTTAAATGGTCAGAAATTCATGAGACACGAAACAACTTCATCAAATTATGATGTTTTATTCAAAAGCATTTGCACCATTGGCACAATGATGAAAACAAAAACTCAAAAAAAGCGTAATAAGCCAGAACGTAAAGGTTGTAGTGGGTAAATTATTGACACCATTTTGGAAAACAAGTAAACAGTGGCACAATCGGAAACAATAAAGATGAATTTGAAAACGTGAACTTGACGTTTTTGTGACTACAGAAAGCTCAAGTATTCTTTAAAGAGCAAACAACTTCAGCGATTAAATACAAATAAAGGAAAAAGGTTACAAAAGAAAAGCTGTACCTGTAGACGACTCAAGTTTCCCAGTTTTCAGAATCATTCAGTGCTAACCAGAAGCCACATTTGTTTGCGTGTTTAACTTCATAAGATGCTGGTCGATGTTAACATTTTTACACCAGAGCTGATCGAACTATTTACAGTATCTTACAAACATTTTCAAAAAGGCTCAGAACAGCTTAAGACTGCTGCTATTCCAAGCCGTACAGAATAAAAGAAAGAACAAAAATACAATCATTCAAAGCGACTTTTTCTGAACAATGTTTCATGGCATTTTACGAAACGTATAACACATGATCGGAGTGCGAACCATTCCCGCTGCAATCCTTCAAAAAGCCAAAGTCCAGCTTAAGCTTGTACTTTATTGAACATGTTGAGCCCTTTAGGTCGCACATTATTCAATGAGCAACCGTGTTCAGGTTGGTTTGTACCGATGGAGGAGTGATATGGGATGAAGCACAATCAGGCAAGATGAGGATTTAATTAATTCAATGTGGAGTTTGTGTCACATCAGTTGGATACAGTATATCCACTTAAAGGCAGGGTTGGTCATTTTCTAAAACTAGCATGATTCTGAAAGTAGCGTTCCCTCAGTGGTCCATCTGCACCCCCTCCCCTCTGTGCTCCCTCTAAAGCCACGCCCCTTACTTACATGCACATGCGCCGTTGCTCCAGAAGCAGAACTCAGCTCATCGCTTTGAGTGTGTGCTAGAGCACGCAAGAGGTAGAGAGCGAGCAGGGAGACAGGGAGGCGTGTGATTGGTTCATCAGACTGGTACCTCTTGGCAGATATTGGTCCAAGTTTTTACAGGCTTACAACTGCTACAGATAATGGATTTTCTTTGTTCCTTTTTTTTCAGAGAACATGAGTTATTAATTTCTGTCAGGACATAAAGACGATTTCAACCAAAATCTTAAGGAGGAAATCACCAACCGTGCCTTTAATGTTTAAAAGAAGACCTTGTCTTGGACCCTTTGTTGTTGGTTCCTCTGGCTGCTTTGGGTGACAAATATCTGGACCCAAATATCGATGCGTCTCAGAAGTTGATACTAAAAGACAAACTACTACGGATTGTCGGGAACGCTGTTGGTTGGGATTGATCAAATAGTAATCAAAATATTGATATGATGCAGAACATCGTGATAGAAGGGAAACATTTCTAGAGATAACGTGTTGAACGAACCAACATGAACATGTGGAGAGAAAAGCATTCAGAGGGAGCTGAAGGTGCAGGGGAAACTTTTTCAACTGCAGAAACGACACAAAACATAAACTGAAGCCTAAAATCTTTTAAAACTTTTAAAAATATTCACAATTTTTGTTTTCTGTGTGGATGAAAGCTGTTCACTTAATGTTGTAAAAATATTTTTTTAAGACTTCTTTGATTCTTTAGCCCTCCGACCGCCGTTTCAAGCCGTGATATTTACGCCTCCTGTGGTGTCATGGAGGCGTAATGTGGGGACGAAGTGATCCCTCCTCTGCACCGTCTTCAGAGGAAGCGAGGGAGCGCATGTGTGTGTGTGTTCATATCTGACTGTGTGTGTATGTGTTGAGCTCCCTCTGTGTCGTGCTTCAGCAAAATTTAAACGCAACGTGAATTCACACACTGGGATGCCAATATTATGCCGTCGTGGAATCAACATGAACGTACGAAGACGTGATGACGGCAGAGTTTAGTGACAGTCTAAAAAAGGGCTTTTATTTTGGAAAGGAAAGTGAAGGAAACATCTTTTAAATACTATTTTTCTTTTTTAAACACAGCTGTTCTGTGTTCATTAGGTCTACCAATAAATACAAAAATTCATATTTTACATATATGCCAATCAAAAAGTAGAAACCAGATTAGAAATCCCGTAATCCACCGCACGTTAATGAACTGAACGCGGACACAATGGACATAAAGAAAACTTTCATGACAAAAAACTAAACTGAGGGGCGCGCTGGTGGCGCAATGGTCAGGACGCGCGTCCCATGTATTGAGACTCTCGTCTCGAGCGGTAGGCCCGGGTTCGCTTCCACCCGTGGCCCCCCTCCTCATGTCACTCCCCGCTCTCTCTCTCTCCCTGGCTTCCGACTCTATCCACTGTCCTCTCTCTGAATTAAAGGCACGAAAAGCCCAAAAATAAATCTTAAAAAAAAACTAAACTGAAACGTTTGATAACGACATTCATGAGAAAAGTGTTTGAGAACGAGTTTCTTCTTAAAAGTGCTGCTGTGGAACAAAACAGAGGACGAGGAGGAATGATGATGTTTATGGATTTTGGTTCAAAATGTTCACGATGAAATGTCGAAGGTTTCATGCAAAGATTGGATTGTTGGTGGGGGCAGCCTGCTGCTATAGACCCCCCCCCCCTTCTCGTCCCGGCAGCAGAAGCCGTCCTCATTCATGCCAACCTCCGACCTCAGGAAGGTGAGGAAGTGTGGACAACAGGAAGGCAAAGGAAAAATCCTTCCTGCATATTATACCATATTCTGGGTCTTGAGATAAAACTTGTTATGAGTTGGCGCTCTACAAATAATAATCGACTGATTGAAAGAAACAACCTCAATTCAAAAATAGAACATTACAGGAATAAACTCTGAACCTCTTGGGTTAAAAATGTGCAGAACTATGAACTATGCAGATGAACTAGTAGCTTTGGTTAACATAAATACTACTCAAACACTGACTGACGAGCGTGAGGAAGACAGGGTGATCCGCAGCTCGATTCTACGACTCGTCCTCCGCAGACGTCTAATCTTTGATATACCTGCTAACATTTATTATAACGAGCCTTTTTCTGAAACCGCTGTTACAAAAATAGAGATTTTGATTGGTGTTGGATGTTACACAGAAACATCAGAAAGGCTGCTGTATGTTTGGAACAAAGTCGTCGGAGTCTGCATCCTATGAAACCAGAAAATCCATCATTTAGAACACGTTTATGGTGCAGAGGTGTAGAAATTACAATATCCTCTGTTCAAAAGTGTGAAAGCTTTGTCATCATCTGGATTTTCTGCTCATCGGGCGTTCACACCTGCAGAAAAGCTCCTGATATTTCCAGGATGAGCGTCATGTGTGAACACAAACAGCTGAATGTTTCTCCTCCAGCCTCCTCGTATTTATTCTGCAGAAAGTCAGTGTGAGCTGATGTGAGAACGCAGCAGGATATAATCAGGAGAATTCACCTGGAGTGAGTGGGATGGGGTGGTGACGTTTATTCCCTGTGATCGCTGCACGACCATAGACTGTCTGCACGCCACCTTTACCATCTCCGTGCTCTAATGAACCTGCTGCTGCATGTTTCCTGTTCTCCAGTATGTTCTTCTCCACTCTTTAGTTCACATTGAGATTCTCTTCAACTACACGTAGCTTTGATAGAAAGACAAATATTCTCATCATAGCGTCTTATAGAGGACTTCTGCGTCGTTCTTTTTACGTCACGTTCTGACAGGGATAGTCTTCCGCTGTGAGGAGCATGTGTGAACAGCCGGGTCAAGAGAATCTCCTCATCCCGGCAGTCCTCCTGAAATGATCTAGATATTTTCAGGAGTGCAGATGTGAAAACGGCTCATCTGAGAAGCGAGATCACAAAGAATTGATCACGGCCGCTCGTAGCAGAAGGATTGTGGTCTCCTCAGAGGATTTCTGCATCGCCTCGAGTTATAAACAGGAACAGGAAATATCCACTGAAAGTTAGAGTTGTTCTATCAGCCATAAATACAGTATCAGGGATCAGCCAGTCAATGCACCGACAAATGAGCCCCCAACAAGTCCTCAGGTTTCAGCTGAGAAGGGACACACTGCCCCGGGCACTTAAAGGAATATCATGATCTCAGGCTTCGTTCCAAGCATACCGAGACCTTTACTCTCAGATACGTGGAATGACCTACAAAGACTTCATCGCAGTTTACAGACGTCTATGAAAAAAAAAAAAAACAGCCGTACCTCCGACCTCTCCTACACTCAGGATACATAAAAACAGAGATAGTGTGGAAGTGTGACGGCGAGGGAACGGGTGAGAGTATAAGCTGTGGGGAAGAAGAAGCCTGCTTGTGTCTGTCCATCCACACTTTTGAGTCTGTGAATCATTCACTGTCTGCCTCCCTGTGCTCTGATGACGGACTCTCTCTGGAGGGCAGGATGTCGTAGTGGCTCGGGATGTGGCTGTTTTTTGGTAGATCGTACGGATCCTGGCCGAACTGTCCGCTGCAGTCCCCGTTCGCCTGGATGGTGCTCACTGTCGGCTCTGAAATCAAACACACAACAGTTGAACCTCATAGGAAAAATGAAGGAGGAAGCTGTATGAGAACAGTCTGTGGTCTCCCATGTTTTTAAAAATCATCCACGTCAGCCAGACTTAGACATGTAGGCTGGATCGATTTAATTTGGTTAATTTATCTGTAAAGGTCATGATCACTTTGGTACATTCGATGGTGCATCCCTACAGCAGACTTCTCTTCTCTGTTCTCAAAATGAGAAATCTTAAAGATTAAAGAGGACATATTCTCCCCCTTGTCCACCTTTTCAAACAGTCCCCCTGTGGTCTAAATGAAACATCTGTGCTGAGCCCCCTCCCCCGGAGTTTTCCCAGTAGACATCACTCCTCTGTAGAGAGAATAAAAATGGCGGACCTGCTCAAAAGTTTTGTTCTAGGCTGGGGATGGAGTCCATGGGTGGAGATACCAGGGGAGGGGAGGTTATCCCACTGTGACATCACAAGGAGAGCAAATTTGAAACGGAGCATTTTTCTCTGTGTTGTAAGACTTATGCAGACCACAAAAAAAGGACTGGATGGTTTATTTCACATTTTGTGGGTCTGTAGACACTCAGGTTACCCAAATATATGTTCAACACTGTACAAATGGACTTTTCATAATACAGTATGTCCCCTTTAAAGCTCCTCACCGACTTCGTAGACGTTCCTGTTGTTGGGCGGGCTGCTGTTACTGATTTCAGCGTACGGTGAGTCTCGTCTGGCCGGCGACTTCATCTCCACGTAGCCGCACTCTGTGTTTTTGTTCATCAGCGGCGGGGGGTCCTTTATGGTGGCGTACGGGTTTTCAGAGCTGTTCAGGGAGCAGGAGCTGGCGTGATACGGCGTGCCCTTCCCCAGGTCTGAATCACACGGGGGGAGACGGAGGAAGTGAGCAGGGGAACGGTGGGGTTCAACTGAAAAGTTTGACATTCATTAAAGAAGCTCTCGGAGCGTTACCTCGCAAAGATTTGCCCATGTATCTCCTGTCGATTCCGTATGCTCCTGAAACGGGGAGAGAGGACATGATAAAGATCAGAGAACAATGGAAGCATAAGAAAAAGAAAAATGCTACAAATCCAGCCACCTCACGGCCTGTCGGGCTGCACAGTTATTTAATTCGCTGCGTGTGTTAGTTGTTGCACGAATTTCTGAATTTGCAGCACATGTTTCCATATGTAGATTGTTTTGGCCGCCGCAGGTCAGTTTCCCTTACCAGCCACCATACATTTATTTTGGCTGTGTTCTACAGATTGTGCACGTCCTGTAAAACTTAAATCCTGCAGCAAAACAACCTTTAAAGACAAACGACAGACATTATCAAGAGAGTCTGCACACATGTTCAGGTCGGGTTTGTGTCCTTAGACGTAAATATGTAAGATAGTAACCTGCAGACTTCATGTTGAAATGTTCATGCAGGAGGGTAAATGATGTCTCACCCAGTTCATTGAAGCAGTCTCCTTGTTTCCAGTCTGCAGGCAGCGTCCCCGTGTGGTCAGCCAGAGGTCCCCGTTTCCTCGGATCCACATTCTTTAAGTTCACAAACAGCGTGTTGGTCTTAGCCTGAAACGTTCAACATGATGGGACAGACATCTGTTTTTAACAGCTCACATGTGGAAATCTAAATGAGCTATCTTTTAATCTTTTTGCGATGGTTCAACTTCAGATACGAATAATACAAAAATACAAAACAGGTTTGACAACAGGAACATGCTGCAGAAACCTGAAACAGCAAAACTAATGCAAATACGTAAATGATGCACAACCCAGTCATCACAACAGAGATGCTCCAGGCCTGTAGGGGGTGCTCTCTAATTGGAACAGCTTCATTTCAAGCTGAGAAAGAGACAAAACGGCCTTGATGGGATAGGACAGTGGATAGAGTAGGAAACCAGGAAGAGAGAGAGAGAGAGAGAGAGGGATGACATGCGGGCGAGGGGCCACAGGCCAGACTTGGGCCCGGACTGCCTGCTTGAAGGACTATAGCCTCCATACATGGGGCGGGAACTAACCCCCCCAGGACTCATACAGGACAAACGGTATGCATCATGGATGGATGTTGTTTCAGTTTTCTTCAGCACATTCCAGCTGTTGTTTGGGAATTTTATTTGTTTCCAAATTTGTGGCATGTTTCTCTTATCCCTGCTTTTGCCTTAATCACCCCCCCCTACCCATTCTGTCCCAACAGACCCCCCCCCCCGCTAACCTTTCCATACGGCCCGTTGTTGACATGTTGCGGGCTGATGCACTGAGTCAGAGTGTGGTAGCTCGGGTTGGAGAAGTAGTTACTGGGGTGAGTCTCACATGTTGGAGGGTGAGCTTCTGCAAAACCATCAACATGAAATCACACATTAGAATGAAAGCGTTTCTATGGTTACAGTTCAGGTGAAGCTGCATCATGCATGTATGCACTTGTCATTAAAACCGTGTGTGCTGTACTGATGTTGTTGCGTCAGCCCGTTGTGTACCTGCGATGGTGTAATCCGCAGTGACCCTGACGGCGGGGGTGTAGGTGACGGCCGGCATGGCGGGCTCTTTGCCTTTCTGCTTCTTCCTGTAGATGATGAAGAGGAGGAGGAGGAAGAGGACCAGCAGCACCAGCACAATGATCCCGGCGATGGCTCCGATCTGATACGAGTCCACCTGCATGGCCGCGCTTGTCAGACTGTTCAGACTGCCGACCACCACCATGCCTGCTGCACACAGGACGAGGAGTTATAGAGCCGCACGTTAACAGATTCTAAGTCCTCCGCCTTTATAACGTCTATTTTTATAAAGTCGAGTCCTCACCCTGGTCGCAGCGAGCGCCCTTCCAGCCCGGGCTACAGTAACAGGTTCCAGTCATGTGATCACAGGTGGAGTTATTCAGACAGTCACACACCTGACGGCAGCCGTAACCATAGGAACCAGGAGGACACTCTGACAACAATAGACGGATGACTTTTATTTAACTTTTTTTTTTTTACAAATAAACAAAATGGAAATAAGTCAAAACATGATGATTTAAAGATCATTAAATGGTTTTGTCTTTGAAAAGTTTCTGAAGTTTAAACTTTGAAAAAAAGAGAAGAAACAGAAAGACAACAAGGAAGGAAGGAAACCAGGAATGAAAGAAATGAAGCAAGGAAAGAAAGACAGAACGAGAAACAGAAAGATAACAAGGAAGGAAGGAAGGAAGAAAGAAAAGAAAGACAAAAAGGAAGGAAGGAAAGAGATGCAAAGTAAGAAGGAAGGAAGGAAGGACCGAAGGAAGGAATGATGAAAGGAAAGAAAGAAGGAAGAAAGGCAGGAAGGAAAGAGACAAAGAAAGAAGGCAACAGAAAGCTGAGTGGTGTGTCTGCGGCTCATCGTACTCTGTTCACAGTGGCGTCCCATGAAACCTGTCCGACAGGTGCACTGTCCCGAGATGTGATCGCAGTCGGCTCCGTTCCTGCACTGACAGATCTGAGAACAGTCTTTACCGAAGTAGCCCAACGGACAACCTGCAGGGGGCGCAACACAGGTTACACATCACACGCCTTTAAAGTGCTTTATTCCTGAGATCAAATAATACACATTCATCATTATCATGAACCAGCTGTGACATGTGGACGCTGTCATCGTGTGTGTTTGTGAGACTCACGCTGTGTGCAGTACAGGCCGGTCCATCCTGGTGTGCATTTACACTCTCCATCATAAGCGCTGCAGTACGCTCCGTTGTGACAGTTACACGTGTGGATGCAGTTTGGACCCCACTGCCCGGGAGGACACGCTGCAGCACAGAAACAACACGTTAGTGATTTTAAACATTTACAGCTAAACATCCTTAAAGGTTACATATGATACTAAATCCACTTCACCATGTTTCTCTAACACTCACATGTGTCTCTAGTCTACAAACTCCCCAATGATGAGAAAAGTCCATCCTCTCCATATTTTGCCTGTTCCACTTTTCAGAAAATGTGTGCTCAAACAGGCTGTTTGGAGATGTTCCCTTCATGACATCACAAAGGGCAGTAACCCCTCCCCCAGGTGGGTGACACTCCCACAGCTAGGTGTTTGTTCTGCCCTCTGAGTCTGCCTTCTCACCATAAACAATAGGACATGGAGCGAGCACACCCAAGCCCTTCCAGAGAGGGGGCGTGGTCAGACACAGCTCATTTACATATTTAAAGGTACAGACACAGAGCAGGGCTGAAATAGAGGGGTTTATAGACATGATCAAATACAAGATCAGAGTGAATTTAGAACAAGAAACTTCACAGGCATGTTTTGAGGAGCTCTGAGACTTATTTAAACTGGTTGAAGAGGAGAATATGTGACCTTTAATATGTAGGTACTTTATAATGAATAAAACATGATTTTGTTTCTCATTTCTGACTGGGACTCACGCTGGGAGCAGTCGCTGCCGATCCAGCCGGGGTAACACTGACACGAGCCGTCGATGGGGTTACACGTGCCATTGTTGGTGCAGCTGCAGCTCCAGGCACAGTTTTTACCAAAGCGACCACTTGGACACACTGCACACAAAACATACACGCAATTTGATCATTTTACTCAAACACACGTCTACAGGTATTCTCACAGCCACGTCAGACATCATGCATGGAAGGACTGGAGGCAGGGTGACTCACCCTCGTTGCACAGCGCCCCCTTGAATCCGGGCAGACAGTCACACTGTCCGGAGACGTGGTGACACGGTCCGTTACTGTGGACACACTGAGGACACGTCTGACTGCAGCGGTGACCGAAGTAACCCGGAGAGCAGACTGCAGGAAACCAAGAAGAGACACAGAGACGAGTTCATTTCACCTCCTTTTAGAGATGAGTTAAATGTCAAAGATGGAATCTAAAAGTTTGTCTTGGATCCTATTCTCAAAAGACCAATGGGTGCAAACGCTTTTGAATGTCTGTGTGTGTGTATCCTGCAGCAGTGTGTGATGATGTCATGTGACTCACTCCTCTGACAGGTGGTTCCTCTGAATCCTGGAGCACACTCACAGGTTCCCTCGTCTGGAGAACACGACGCTCCGTTCTTACAGTTACATGGGAGGGAACAGTTCGGCCCCCAGCGGCCCTCTGCACACACACTGTCACAGTGGATACCTACACACACACACACACACACACACACACACACACACACACACACACACACATACAGTACATTAGAGGATCCAAAAGGTCAAATTTCACACGTAAGCAAAGATTTAGTAGAAGTTCCTAAAATGTTCACACTTGATCAGATTTGTGCGTCTTTGAATATCACAAATTTTTATTTTTCCTCGATTAAAAAAAACCCTCAAACACACAAAGACGAGGAATGTAAACATGAAGAAAGAGTAAAGTGTTCCTTATTTCCCTCATTTTCCGTCAGTCCCCTTTTTCTCTCTAGCAGATACACAAGGATTTCCCATCATGCCGCTGTGTGTTCTACTGGAACAATAATTAAAGCGACATTTATATCTGAGTGCGTCAGTCTCACCGGTCCATCCGGCCAGACACCGGCAGTGGCCGCTGGAGTGATGACATCCATCAGCGTGACTGCAGTCACAGCGCTCTCTGCAGTCCAGCCCGTAAGTCCCGTCCTGAGGAGGAGGAACAGGATCAACTGTTAATGAGGTGATGAATCAAAGGAAGGAGACACGACCTCTACGTGGTTATGGTGAGAAAAATGAAGATCGCTCATGCTATGTTCATCTCTCTCTTCAAAGCCCTCAGACTCCACTGATAGAAGCAGTTAACGCTACCTCACAGGAAACAGAGAAAAATGTGACAAAAGGAGACACCTGGGATTATAGATACTGACTCACCTGGCAGTGCAGCTCACACCTGTCGCCCCTCCAGCCTGCAGCACAGGTACACTGACCGTCCAGAGCGTTACAGGCTCCTCCGTTCCCACACAAACAGGTGAGGTTACAGCCCAGACCCCAGGTACCGCTTGGACAGTTGATGGAGCAGTCCACGCCGTGCCAACCTGAAACAACAAATTGACTTTTTGAAAGATTTATTTTGGGGCTTTTTTTGCCTTTATTTAGAGACAGGACAGAGGATAGAGTTCTCTCCTCATCCCTCTCCCCTCCTTCTTCCTCTTCTCCTCCTTCCCTCCTTCCTCTTCTCCTTCCTCTCCTCCTCCTTCCTCTCCTTCCTCTTCTCCCCCATCCTCTCCTCCTTCCTCTCCTCCTTCCTCTCCTCCTCCACCTCCTCCTCTCCTCCTCCCTCTCCCCTTCTCCTTCCTCCCCTTCCTCCTCTCCTTCCTCCTCTCCTCCTTTCTCTCCTCCTCCTTCCTCTTCACCTCCTTCCTCTCCTTCTCCTCCTCCTCCTTCCTCTCCTCCTTCCTCACCTCTCCTCCTCCTCAGCTCACCTGGTCTGCAGGAGCAGGATCCGTCCACAGGTGAGCACTGGGCTCTGTTCTTACAGTCACAAGTGGAGGAGCAGTTGGCTCCGTGAGTTCCTGCGGGACATGGGACCGAACAGTTGGGACCCTGAGGAGGACACGAGGGGAGAGAGAGAGAGAGAGAGAGAAAGGTGAAACAAGAGGCGACTGACAGGAGGCATCAGATCAGACTTAGAGATGAGGAGCCCCCAGACGTAGTTTTAAAAGGATAAAACAGTCAGAAGGAGAACTGTGTTATTTAAGACGGTTCATTTTGGTTCCCACAGAGTTCGAATGTTTAAGTCTTCTGTGAGGCCGTTAAATCTTTGAAACAGATAACGCTCACATGCAAACACTGAGGATTTGTTCTCCAGGCTTGAGTTCAGATCATCGTACTTGGAAGCATTTTTATTGTGCACATGTGGCTGTGTGACGCACTGGCTACTCTTATGAGTCACAGTCGATCACTAACCCTCGTTAAGGTTAAAACCAGCAGAAGAAGAAGCCTCCTCTGTGATATTCATGCAGCTCTATATCAGACCTCCAGCAGGTCATCTGTTCCACATTCAACTGAAGTCCTGATAAAAATCTTATTTTATTTTTATTTAAAGCAATAACAACATTATATCTTTTCATTTCATTTCATTTTTTGAAACTATGTTTTACTTCAGGGGCTCCGTAGTTGTGCAGTTTAAAAAAAATGATATTATTGTAGTTCCACCAGCGGCCACTAGATGCTACTGAAGAGCTGTAATGTAATGATAATTCCCCTTGATGTAAAAGGAGAGAACACATGGAGCCTTTGAGGTTTCTGTGGATTAAAGAGAATACAGTTTTAGTGTGTGGTCTCAGTTTGATGTCTGCTGATTCAGCTGATGATCCGACATAAAATCTCATCCTTTTTTATTTTTAAAAACCTCGTAATTAAACACACTGCACGGCTTCAATCCTCTGGTGAGCTGTGTTTACCGTGAATCCAGGAGCACAGACACACTCTCCGCTCACGCTGTGGCAGTCGGCGCCGTTCTGACACCGACACACCTGCTGACACGACTCGCCGTAAAACCCCGGCGTGCACGTCTCGTTACAGTAGAGACCCGACCAGCCCGGCTCACACGTGCACTCTCCTGACATCGGGTGGCAGCTGGAGACGAGAGAGGAACACAAACATACCAAACACAGAGAGAGTTTTTAATTATTGTGCAGGTTGATAAATGATGCTTTACTGTCAGATTCCTTCTGAATCTTTAGGGCGCTGAGGGATCAGCTTGCTTTAAACTATTGCTTTGATACGACCTCATTATTTTGAATTGTCAGTCCCCATAGAGCCCTATGTTCAAATGTCCAACTTTACAGCTGCAGTTCCTCCAGTGTCCACTAGAGTCTGTCTCCTGCAGTGAGTCAGTCTCCATAGAGCTCCATGTTAAAATAAACATGTTTACATCCTGGTATAAAAACAGTTTGGGTCTCCAGAGCTCATTTCTCTCTTCAACTGTACGGGCTGAATGTTTATACAACTCACCTGTTTACATTTTATTAAGGCTTAAAGGGATGTAGGATTAGGGGGCGTGGCCTCTTTGAGTGACAGGTGGGAGCTGCTAGCTGTCTGCTAGGTGTCACCTCAGTTAATTCAGTCCTGACCTTTGACCTCTGGGCTATGTTTGTGCTGTTGAAGCCTTTTGGAGATTTGTTCATGTGAATATCAGACTAATGGTAAATGGATTGAATGTGTATACAACTTTTCTAGTCCTCTGAATACTCATCGCTGTTGTGTTTATAAGCTGCAACGGCTCGAGATCACCAGGGTCGGATGGCAGAAGCACACCTCTCATTAAAATGTTGTTTTATTATGACTTATTTATAACTCACTAACTTCTCTTATCAGAGAACAGACTCAGACCACAGCTTTAAATGCCTTTGAGCATAGACCATTATTGAAAACAGTAATAAATGTGTCAGGATGAATAAAAGAGGATGATTTTGTTGGAATAAAGGATCTTTGATTTTCATTTTATAATCCCCTCTTTAGGCCTTGTCACTAATGAGGCCCGAACAAAGACTGACTGTGTGAGAATCATTCAAAGAGTCCGCATCTGAAATCAAAGTAACACAAAAAAGTATTCAAACTGAACCAATCTGCAAGGTCACAAGGGGGACCTGTCGGCCTCTGTCAGTGACAGTTTGAGTGACAGCTGCTCCACCTGACACAGAGCTCACATTGAGCAGGGACAGACAGCTGCTCTCTGCAGCGACAAATGCAGATACAGCTGTGCTACGCTAACCGCTAACTGAACACTGAGACACACACACACAGCTGCCTGCAGACCAAACGACAACACAAAGACAACACAGGAAAAAGTCTTCACTGTCGGTAACTGTTTGGGATATTTGAGAATCATTAACGCTGACATTGTCATCTTGGAAACATTGAATTGGCTCTCTGTTCTGTGTGCAGACAAAGAGAGATGAGTGTTTGTGTGTACCTGCGCGTGTTGTGGACGTAGCAGGGACACTTCCTGTCACAGCGCAGGCCGTAGTGTCCCTCCACACACAGTCTGACGTCACACGTCTCGCCGGTGTAGCCCGGCTCACACAGACACATCCCGTTGGTGTGGTAACACTTTGCGTTGTTCTTACAGAGACACGTCTGAGTGCAGCCGGCGCCGTAAGTACCGACGGGACACTGGTCCTGACACCTGATCAGAGAGAGAGAGAGAGAGAGAGAGACGGTTAATAATTGGAAAATAGGGTCAACTACAGCTCAAGAGGGAGAGAATTTGTGGTTACTGACATTTTGTTATAATAATGTTTTAACATGCAAGACAGTGGCTACCAAAGAGGACAACCAGACGACTTCAGCATCCTCTGCCCTCCTCGCCGCTGCTCTCTTGTCTAATGTAAGCTTCTTTTATTTTAGTTTAATACTGAATCATTCATGTTTGTACGAAGAGAGCAAAGTTAACCAAAGTCAAATTCCTGTATATGTAAACTCTCCGGGACAATAAGGCCGACTGGCAGGCTGAAACTCATTCTTCAACAAGGCTGTTCTCTTTTTCCTACGGTGGCCCTGAAGGTCAACTGTACAAATATTTCATGGCTGCAAAAAAACATTTACCAGAAACTTTTCACTAAATGCAAACATGTTTCAGGAAATGCATATACATAAAAAAAAACAAAAAACATCAAAATACTACTTTTTTCATACTGCAGAAGGTGAACTCATGTTCTCAGTAAGTGATGTGTTTTTGATGTTTCATGGAATAGTTTTATGTTTTTCATCTATCTGCAGGATTGTTTTCTCCTGATATGACTTCTCTTTGGTGTTTGAAATCTGTCCCATAAATGCAATCTGGGATATTTTGCAAAAATATGAGCAAAAATTCTCCAAACAGTCACTTAATAAGACATGAGGAACTTTTTCACAGCTGCCTTTAACCTGACAGCTGTGTGAATCCTGTATTCCCTTCGATAAATCCTCCACATTCTTACATAGAGCTGCACGTCCCAGTATAAAGTCTGCTCTCTCAGTCCTGTTAATGGATTCCAGTGGGTTCGGGTGTGGCTCTGCCGGCCCGGTTCCCAGTAGGGCTACACTTTGGTTTGGCTTCCCTCAAACCTTTATTTTCTGGTTGCAGTGCACTGTGGCGGTCTATTCCTGACTCTGGGTAAGTATATGTGTGCGCTCCCTGATATTGTTAATTATACGTGTGTGCAGCCGAGCGGCTCTGAGATCTGTCTGAGGAAACACAGTCTGCTCTCTATGACTGTTTTCTCTCCTCTCTGCAGGATGTGGGCGACTTAAATCAGAAACAGAAGATTTATTTCAGGGTTTTTTTTTTTTTCTTTGATTCATCCTTCAGAATCATGATCCGGTCAGATGAGGACAACGAAGACACAACACAAGTGTTCAGTCACTGAGCTGCACATATTTAATATCTCACTTTGACTTTCTGCACTGAGATTTGAAACCTGTAAAAATAATGTTCCTACAAAGTGCTTCCTGCTGCAGCTGCTGCTTTGAAACTTCTTTTTCTTCTGTGTTTTTTATTTAAGAACGGGTGAAAGCTCCTTCCTGCCTTGGACTGGTCGGACTCTAAACTTCCGCTCCTTTAGCTTTTTCCAGTTTTTGAATCTGCCATGGTTTCACTGAAAATATCTTTTTGTTTAGTTTCTTAATCGGACTTAAAGTACACATGTTTTCTTACATGTCCGAACTCAAACAGCAGCCATCACTGATCAGTTATGTTCTCAAAGGTCAGCACAACTCTGGTTCAAGTTCTTCAAATTTCCTCTCAGCTGTCACGCCTCGGACATCCAGACGAAGACACACACAATAATAGAGGTGGTGTTTGTATAATGGTCACATATTATTCAAAACAATACGGCTAATACATGTATAGAAGTGATCATAAGCTCCGCCTCCTCCATGTTAACAGATGGGTCGATCTCTGCGGCACAGACTCTGACTCTGAGCTGTGCATTAAGTCAGCGCCCCTTGTGGAGGTATTTTGGCTTCACTTTTACAACAGGAGGAGGCTGAGACACGTCGTCCAGGATTATAAAGTGCTTCCAAAGCGTTTGATTTTTAATCTCTGATAGCTGAAAGAGTAAAATGTTAGTCTTGCCGTTCTCCTGTGTATCCGGGGCTGCAGAGACACTGTCCAGAAGACGACACACAGAAGCCGTTGTTGTGGCACTGACATTCCTGTGAACAGTTCTGTCCAAATCTGCCCTCCGGACACGGCTGGCCACACACTGTACCCTGCACACACACACACAGAAAGAGGATTCATGTGAGCAGCTTCTATACATTAAGCAGTCCTGCTGGTGATGAACACTATCTGTTGTCTGTATCCTCAAAAGTCTGAATTCAGGCAAAGATTCACAGAGCTCATATCATGTTATGACCTCAGGAGTCTGACGCCTTTCTATCTCTCTCTTTCTTCTTCATCACATATGTTAAAGGAGTTGCCAGACATGTAGCGCAGCTTTCCCTCATCTGAGTCTGCTCCTAATCACTTCTTATCTGAAAGTGTGATGTTCTCCTTCTCTTGTTTTGTATTATTAGTACTTCTAAAAACCTGAGATTTCATTAAACGTACTTTTAGGAGTCTAGGCCCCGTGTCAACCTGGCGTTTTTGTTTTGTTTTTTAGCTTCAATTGTTTTCAATGAGGAGAGAGCGTTTGGAGAAAAAGCGCAGTGATAGCGCCTTTTTTCCGAGCACTTCACCATTTTTGTGTGGACGCTGCGAGTGCTCAAGTTGAAAATCTTTCAACTTTTCAGAAAGGCACCGCTGACGTCACCGGCGCTCTTTTCCAAATGTTTGATATTCCCCGTAGTTTTGTTTCCTATAGATTGTCTTGTATTCACATCCTCCTCGCTCCGTGTCTGATTGGGGAATAAATGATCTAAATTAAAAAAAAACTTGCAGGAACAAGTAACGGAGCAGTGTCGGTCATACAGCTCCCGTTGTTAACAGACTGTTGTCATGGAGACAGGACGGACGTGCAGCGCTTTTCTTGCTTCATGCAAGAGCTCCTGAGCACACAGCCAGCGCTTTACTGCCCGGGAAAAACGCTCAGTGGAAACGGGGCCTCAAATGACATTTTTTAAAAAGTGTTTGAATTGCACCTCTACATTTCTTCATCCTGCAGCAGACGAACAGGCTGTCATGGTTGCAACATCATCGGAAGCAGCAAAAGTGCAAAATATGTTGAAATCAACCTTAAATTTTTGAGGGAATTTACAGGAGTGTGTGTGTGTGTGTAACACAGCCCTCATTGTAAGTATGAATGACAGTACAGTAGAGTGTGTGTACCATCCATCCTGCAGGACAGGAGCACTCGCCGGTCACATGATGACACACGCCTCCGTTCTGACATGGACATCTCTCCTCACACTGCTGTCCGTGTTTACCTGGAGGACACAGATCTTCACAGCTGTGGACAAAAAGAAGAAGAAGAAGTTCATATTTAAGTGAGGGATAATGTTTATATAGCAGGGTGTTATCACAGAATAGAACTTCTCTCATCCTGAATGGGAACCTTATTACACGGCTACTTACTTAGGAAATTAATTATTAATTAATAACAATTAAAGCTGCATCCCTACTGACAGTTGACTCTGTAGCCTTCATTAAGTGAGCGAAGCTGAACATTTCCTCTGATGGTGAATGAGACAAGGAGAACAGATCCTCATGAATCAGCTGAGCCGGATTTTTTTGCCTCGCCATGTCGGAGTCTGTTGACATTTGCTGCTCCACCTTAACTGAAGGAGTTAAAATATCTCAGGTATTTGTTGATGTGATGGTAAAATGGAGCTTGAGCTTGATGCTGCTCCTTCACATAGAAAGGAACCAGTTGAGGTGGTTCGAGCATCTGATGAGGAACTTCCTAGTCGCCTCCATATGGAGGTCTTTTGGGCACGCCCAACTAGAAGGAGACTCAGAGGCAGACCGAGAGCTCGCTGGAGGGATTATATAGGCGCTCCCTTCTGGCCAAGGATCCCCCAGGATGAGCTACAAAATGGTGGGGAGAGGGACGTCTGGGGTAACTTGCTTAACCTGCTGCCACCGAGATAGGCAAGAGATAATGGATGGAATAGATGGATAGTTTACCTCAAATTCATTCATACCTAAAATCTAAAGTGGTCACTTCTGGCTCCACAAAACTCAAGGACAACAACAAAAAAGCTATGGACAAAATTAAAAACTTGAGTCTCTAAATGAAGGCAGTAAAGCACTTTAACTTTTCCTATAATCTGTCTTTGATGTTTACCAGCAAAATAATACACTGACTGCTACCCAAACACAAACAGAGTTCCTCTGCAGGCTTTAATTTCTCTTTAACGTCTCTACAGGAAGCAGAGCCTCACACATTACTCACAAAGCTCCAGTGTATCCTGGCGAGCACTTGCACTCTCCGGTCACATGGTGACAGGCGGCTCCGTTTTGGCACTGACACTTCTGCTGGCACCCGTTCCCGTAGGTGCCCAGCTCGCACTGAGCCTCGCAGCGCCAGCCTCTGAAGCCCGGGCTGCAGATACAAGCTCCGGTGATGGGGTTACACAGCGCTCCGTTCTGACACTGACATCTGTTACTGCAGTGGGAGCCCCAGTGTTCACTGTCACAGGCTGAGGAGGAAGAAGAAGAAGAAGCAGGGTTAGATTTATTTTGATTGACAGGTGTCACTGCACAGGTCACAGACCATCGCTTGTCTTTTTGATTGTCTTTCAAGCTTCTGAAAACCTTTTAAAGAGCTACATTTCACAGAGCAGTTCATGTTCAGGCTGCTCTGTGGAGCTCTTTAACACTAAACACGATAATATGTAATGTAATATCACCATGTCAAACACAGGATGAGCCACTTTATGTCAGACCTGTTATCATCCAGGTAATCACTGCTCATGTAATGATTCTTTTCACTAACTGACCCAAGTGATCGCAGAGCAGATACAGGACAAAAGATGACCTTTTTACACGGATGTTGGACCCTGAAACTTAAGAAATATAACTTTTAAATTTCTTAAAGAAAAAAAAAAGCCTTATTTTGTGCTAGATTTTAAAGGTTTGACATTTGTTTTCTTAATTTTTTTTCTCCATTTGGTGACCTTGAATCTGAGCAGATCCTCAAGACATGAGGCCACGCAAGGTTCAATCCTTGGGCCACTATTATTTAGTCTACTCATGCGCCTTCTAGGGATGGGAGTTTAGTTTTAGTTTTAAAAGTAACTGGTATTTATTTGAACATGTTTCTTTTTTAAACACCCTCACCCCCATTGAATGACCAGCTCCTTCTCCTTCATCAGTATTGAGAAAGAGAGAGGGAACCTTTTACTTTTTTACAACTCTGTCGGTTTTATTTCCTTGTCAAAGAGTGCAGACTTGTGATATGCTAGTTTCACCTGGCAAAGTTTGCACTTGTCCTCAAACTTGTTTTTCACACTGAATTTTTTGAACGCCTGAAGAAGTTTCTGCATTTTTTCTTGTACTAACTCTCATCTCTTCTTTTGTTATCTAATGACAGTAAGCCTGCAGCCAGATAGCGGTATATGTTGTATGCCCCATGTAGGGAGGTTGTAGTTCCCGTCGCAGACGACCAGGGTTCAAAGCTGCATGTCATCCCCCCTACTCTCTCCTCAAGATGCTTCCCGCTTCGTCGTCTTATCCAATAAAAATGTAGCAGCAGTGTGCAAAGAGTTTTCAGATGTGCTACAGCCACTGTCCAGCGTTAATTCTGTATTACACCCAGACACCGGGAAAAAAAATATATTTTTGACTGCATTCTGTGACTTGCTACATACTTATAAATCAATCAAAAATCTCTGACCAAAATGAATCTGCTTTCTTTGACTAAACAAACCCATGGGGGCCCTTGAGTCACCTCGAGTCAGAACCAAACAGGAAACAAACTTCTGGTGAAAACTCTGCTGTTCTCTGCTTTTTGTATGCTTTGTTTTCTCTTCAGCTGACTCTGAAAACCTTTTACTGCCATGAGGTTACCGTTCTAAACATTTGTTCTAATTCTACACTTTATTGTATTTTTAAAAATGTCACTCCAAAGCTTCTCTTGGCAACGTTAAGCTCTCTGAACGACCTCTGTGTTTGAATAGTTTTATATAAATAAAGCTGCCCCGCCTTCTCGAGAAACCAAACCCATGAAAAGATGAAAAACCAGAAAGAAAACTGAGCCTCCTCACAACCCCATGGTCAAGTCTCCAGGGAATTGCAAAACTGCTCGCTTTTCAAAAATAAAAACAGTTAGAAAAAAAACAATTTCAAACCTTTGCTGCAGCAGCTCTTATCTCTGCCCTCAAAACTAAACTAAAGGCGAGCTGCTTATGCATAATGTTGTTGCTGATTTTTTTTCAGGAAATCTGAATTCATTCTTCTCTTGGCTTCATGCATCTGTCAGGGCTTCAAACTACAACTCATTTTTGTTGTAGGTAAAGAAGAGGAGCAGTGTAGCTTGAGTCAAACCTCAGATGTGACAGTCACACATGTTTGGAACCTCACTTCTTCAAAGAAACTCTTTCAGCTGAAATCAAAGCCGGCTCCTCATCACCGACTCTACAGCAAGCGGCCACAGACTTCATTACTGTGCGGCTTGGCGGGCTGCGACCTGAACCCACCTCATTAACCCTCAGCTGTTGGATTTGACCCCTAATCAATCTGGACTTCACATCAGCACTCAGTGGAAACCTCCACCATGTTTATCCACAGTAAACCGGAGGACCTGACAGCGTGTTGGACCACATGTTTACTCTGCGTGTCTTTAATCTTTGGAGACCACGTCAGGAAGCTGATGGAGGGGCGAGTCAGAAAAGTTTACAGTGACGGCCAACCTTTCATTATGGGACTCTACGTCATCGAGCTCTATTACAAGTTCAGGAGAGAGGGACTATATTAAAAACCACGCTGTGACTGTGTTTTTGTTGTGTCGTACTTAAACCTTCTAATGACCATCTCAGAGATGTCAGACATCAACTATTTGTCATAATCGTCTTTGCAAACAGGCTGCACTAAAGCCCCCGTTCTATCGCCTGTTCAGTCTTTCAAGTTAATGTCGAGGTCTGGTTGAAGATAGACTGTATGAAACATGGACGTAGACTCAGTAACATCACCCAATGGCGTCACAAAGGCCAGCGATGAAGGTCGCCATATTGCAAATGCTTTCTCAAACTAACTTTTGATCGATCTACGACAGACAGAGGGCGGCTGTGGCTCAGTTGTCGTCGCCTCTCAACCGGAAGGTCGAAGGTTCGATCCCCAGCTGGGCAACATGTCCAATGTGTCCTTGGGCAAGACACTTAACCCTGAATTGCTCCCGCTGCTTCTGTGGCGGTGTATGAATGGGATTAGTTACTTCTGATGGACGATACTACATAGCGACCACTACCATCAGTGTGTGAATGGGTGTGTTCAGGACACTCTCATTCACAGGACACTCAAACTCTGTACAGGGTCAAACCAGATCTGTGTGAGTCCAATCAAAGTCTAAGTTTGGTTTAGGGGTTAGGGTCCTAATTTCTAATTCAGGACGATTTTACGCTCCACTAACATGTTAAGGTGTTTCATCAGCTGAGGTTGTTCCCACGTAGGCAGAAGTTACACCTTAACGCGGTTGTCATGGTGATGGTTTGAAAGGTGGGATAACTTTGAGGATTACTGTTGTTCTTGTACACAAAGCTGTAGAAGAGAATCATCTTGTTTATGTCCAAACAAGAGGCCTCCTGCCAATCATTAAACCAGCTGACTTTAAGTTTAAGCAGAACTTCCCTCTGATATCACAGTATGTTTGCTTAAAAAAAATGTGTGTGTGTGTGTGTGTGTGTGTGTGTGTGTGTGTGTGTGTGTGTGTGTGTGTGTGTGTGTGTGTGTGTGTGTGTGTGTGTGTGTGTGCGCTCCTGCAAGCTGTGGCTGACCTCTGCAGCTGACTGCGGTTTCCCTGATCGAGTAGAATATACACAGAGCAGCTGCAGAAAACTGAGCAATCACACTGATGGGGAAACTGTGGTTATGTTCAGATGGGACTTATTTTAAAGTATGATGAAGGAGAAGTGAAGGGAGCAGATGCATTCTAACTTTAAGAGTGTAACGTGCGGCCCTCTCTCCCCCTCTGGTCTCCCTCCTCCCTCTGCCTGCTGCACACCTGAGAGCAATCTGCGCTCAGGTGTTTCCCCCCAACCCGGTATTTGTTTCTTTCCCCATGCATGTTGAGATTAGTGAGATTGTAGTTTGGGCTGGAGATCATTAGTGTCCTGTTTCTGGTCTTTCGTTTCCTCTGAAGTTAGTTCTTCTTCTTCTGCAGTTTTAGGGTGCTAGAGCAATGGCCCGTTGCGTGTTTGGCTCGGCCTCCTTCCCATCTTTTGTTCTTCTTGGCCGGGGTCTCAAGCCCCCTTTTTGTTTTCTTTGGTTTATTCTTTATCTTCTGAATATTTTCTGAGGGAGTATATGCAAATACAGCTCTTGGTTTAAACAATTCAATCTGTGCTGTGTCCCTATGTGTTTTCGGTCTCCATGTTTGGAGCTTTGGGTTTATTATTTTGGTTAAGCAGATGATCCAAAACGCAGCAGCAAGACTCGTCTTCAACCTCACCAAACAGCACAAGTCACACGGCTGATCATCTCCCTCCTCTGGCTCCTAGTTACTGCTCACATCAAATCTAAAACTCTGCTGCTCACTTATGAAACGGACACTAAAACTGCTTCTCTTTACCTAAACTCTCTCATCCAAGTCTACACTACCTCCTGTCCACTACACTCTGCCAATGAAAGGCGTCTGTTCCAACCTTCACAACAGGGTCCTAAGTCTCTGACTAGACTCTTCTCCTCTGTCGGCCCCTGGTGGTGGAACGAACTACCAAACTCCATTTGATCAGCAGAGTCCCTCTGCGCCTTTAGGAAAAAAGCTAAAGACCCAGCTCTTTATGAACATCTAGGAACTTGTGCTCTGTCTCTGTTCACTTCCTGTCAGCACCTGTGCTCTTTCTCTGTTCACTTCCTGTCAGCACCTGTGCTCTTTCTCTGGTCACTTCCTGTCAGCACCTGTGCAAAGCCTCTTTGATCAGACTTAAAGCTGTTTGTTTGCTCTTCCTGGAGTTGTTTCCTCCTCTCTACATCCTCGCTTGTTTTGTTCTCACTCTCTGATATACGTATCGTTGGATAAAAGTGTCTGATGAATGAATGAGGAGGTTAAGAAGTCCGTAACAAAGAGCTACAGAAGCTGAGAGACTAAAATATATTTAAATCAAATCAATCAATCTTTTCAGTCCGCTCTCAGTCACATGAAAGAAAATCTGACCTTTGAACTAAACATTCCACTCATATGCTTCAAAACTCCATTTCAAAAGGCGTCCTTCTTTAAATTCCTGTAATATATATGTTCAACAAATAGTCATGTATCTGTTTCCTTGAATCCAGGCGGACATTCTTCTTTAAAGGAGACACATGACTTTTGTCCTGAGGCCAAAAGAGGCCATGCATCTTCTAAACAAACAAAATGTATCTTTCTTTATGCATCATATAACTGGATAAACAAGACAGAATCTGAAGATCCTTGATTCTCGAGTTGATTCGGATTTTTCTGAGAATGAACGTCTGTGACCCGGGGGGGGAAGCTTTAAATCAATCC